GAAGGTAAGGACCGTGTTCCGGAAGAGAGGTATGTCTAGGCAACCCAGGATGTGTTAGCTAGCCTCAGCGCACAAGGTCTCCATGTCCCAGACCAGAAAGGCAAAAGTTGAGCATGGGGACTAAGAGCCTCTGACTTCTGCAGAGACTGAGCTGGCTTTGGCACTTCTGGCTAGTCTAGGATAGCACTGACATGTCTGTACCACGACCAGGCTGGGCACTGGTCAGGGAGAACATTCAAAAGAGAGAGAGGAAGAGAAGCAGGCAGGAGTGAGAGGACAATCGTGAGTGTGGGTTGGTACCAAGCAGGGGCACTAGCACTGACTGTCCCCCTCTTTCTCTTGTGTGCCTCTTTCTCAGGCCTAGTGCCCGCGCCATGGCACTGCCTCGGACACTAGGGGAGCTGCAGCTGTACCGGGTCCTGCAGCGCGCCAATCTCCTTTCCTACTATGAGACCTTCATCCAGCAAGGAGGGGACGACGTGCAACAACTGTGCGAAGCGGGTGAGGAGGAGTTCCTGGAGATCATGGCCCTTGTGGGCATGGCCACCAAGCCTCTCCATGTCCGACGCCTGCAGAAGGCACTGAGAGAGTGGGCCACCAATCCAGGGCTCTTCAGCCAGCCAGTGCCTGCTGTGCCCGTCTCCAGCATTCCGCTTTTCAAGATCTCTGAGACTGCGGGCACCCGGAAAGGGAGCATGAGCAACGGTCATGGCAGCCCAGGGGAAAAGGCTGGCAGTGCTCGAAGTTTTAGCCCCAAGAGTCCCCTTGAACTTGGAGAGAAGCTGTCACCAGTGCCTGGGGGACCTGGGGCAGGAGATGCCCGAATTTGGCCAGGCCGGAGCACACCAGAGTCTGATGTCGGGGCGGGAGGAGAAGAGGAGGCTGGTTCGCCCCCCTTTTCCCCACCTGCAGGGGGAGGAGTCCCTGAGGGAACAGGGGCTGGAGGTTTGGCAGCCCCTGGGGCTGGGGGTGCTCCTGATAGACTGGAGCCAGAGATGGTACGCATGGTGGTGGAGAGTGTGGAGAGGATCTTCCGGAGCTTCCCAAGGGGGGATGCTGGGGAGGTGACATCCTTGCTAAAGCTGAACAAGAAGCTGGCACGGAGCGTGGGGCACATCTTTGAGATGGATGATAATGACAGCCAGAAGGAGGAGGAGATCCGCAAATACAGCATCATCTATGGCCGCTTCGACTCGAAGCGCCGGGAGGGCAAGCAGCTTAGCCTGCATGAGGTGAGGACCCCCCGTCTCCCAAGATTGCTCTTGGCTCCCAGGCCTCCACCTGCTCACCTCTGGGAATCCTCACATTCCTCAAGTCTGTTTCATTGCCCTTTGACCAAGACTCCAGGCCCCGGTTCCCTCTCCTCCACCCCAATTCCAGCTCCTGCAGTGCTTCCCTCCTCAATGGAGGGGGAAACAGAGGCACAGGTGAGAGCCCAGCTGTCCAGCTTCATGCCGCTCGTGTCCCCACAGGCGTGGAGGAGGCCCTGGGCATTCCTAGGAATCTGTGGGTGCTGACCTCTCTTCTTCCCTCAGGAAACTCTTGGGTAGTGTCAAAACCCAAGCAAGAATCTGATGGGTGGGCCTCATTTGTCTGGTGATGAAGGGATGTGAGGATGTCTGGGCAAGACGGTGGGGAGTTAGGATTCTGACTGCTCTGGGGGTCCTCTCCACAGCTGACCATCAATGAGGCTGCTGCCCAGTTCTGCATGAGGGACAACTCGCTCTTACTGCGGAGGGTGGAACTCTTCTCCTTATCGCGCCAAGTGGCCCGAGAGAGCACCTACCTGTCATCCTTGAAGGGCTCCAGGTGAGACCCCTTCTCCAGGTTCTTCCTCGATTAGAATTCTGCCAGGGAGCGGGGCCATGTCCTACCCTCCATGGAGGTGCCTCCCGGCCTGCTTGCCACCAACCTGCATGTCCTGCCTTTACTGCCTTTACTAAGTCCACTTGTGTGAGGTCTGACCCCTCCCATCATCTCCGGTCCCCTCTAACCCCGCAAAACAGTATTCTGTGCCTGAGCTGGGGACTCTTGCTCAGCCAGCTCCTTCCCAGGATTTTGAAAAAATGCACGCCCCTCGCCAGATTCTGTGCCCAGCCCATCATGTGTCCCTCCCCAGCCTCACCCTCCTTATTCCTCCATCTTTACAGGCTCCATCCTGAAGAATTGGGAGGCCCACCACTGAAGAAGCTGAAACAGGAGGTAGATTTGCCAGGGTGCACACAGGGGATTAGAACAGCCTTTCCCTAAACCCTCCTTTGCCAGATCCTCATTTCCCCATTTGGGGCATACACAGGTTGGAGAGCAGAGTCACTCTGAGATCCAGCAGCCTCCCCCAGGCCCTGAATCCTATGCACCCCCATACCGCCCCAGCCTGGAAGAAGACAGCGCCAGCCTGTCTGGGGAGAGCCTAGATGGACACTTGCAGGGTGAGTGTACATCAGAGCACTTCCCTCCTCTGGGCGGGGAGGGGAGGGGAAGGTGTGGGGGGAGAGAGCCAGGAGGCAACTGCCTGGAACAGGGTTGGGAGGCCTGGCTGGATGGGAGCAAAAGGGCCTGGATTTATGGGTTTGGCTTCGTGGTTGAGGGTGGGGGTTCTGTTGACTGTAGTCCCTTACCTGACCAGTGCCCATGCCCACAGCTGTGGGGTCATGCCCAAGGCTGACGCCGCCCCCTGCTGACCTGCCTCTGGCATTGCCAGCCCATGGGCTGTGGAGCCGCCACATCCTGCAGCAGACACTGATGGATGAGGGGCTGCGGCTAGCCCGCCTCGTCTCCCATGACCGCGTGGGCCGCCTCAGCCCCTGTGTGCCTGCAAAGCCGCCTCTCGCAGGTGAGGCAGCCAGCAGTGCTGTCCCCGAGCATCCCCACCACCCAGGCCCCACTTAGCAATCCTGGTGCCCTGGGGCCAGGTGGGAGGAAGAGGGTATAGTGGCCAGAGAGGGCAGTAAGTAGGATGGTCGGGCTCCAGCCACCCAGGCCTTGGGTTAAGGAGAGGAGGACCCTGCAGGGCTGTTCCTACTGGGGAGGGTCTGACCCTAACAGAGACCTATGAAAGGGGGTTGGGCTGAGCAGGGAGACAGAATGAGAGATAAAGGGGGAGCAGGAGGAGGATCACCAGGAAGGGAAGCTTGGAGAGAACTTACACCAATGCAGGAGGGTGGAGCAGGCTAGCATTTAGGATGGGGCTGCCCAGCCTGAAAGTGGAAGAGCCTAAAAGGGGATGCTTAGTGTTTGGATGGAGGAAGGGGAATAGGCCAGCAAAGGGCCAGGCAGCGGCTGGGCTGGGAGTGACGCAGCAGACAAAGCCACCAACCCTAGCTTGGTATTTTTAAACTGTGTGTGGGTGGGAAGTGGGGGCAGGGACTAGAAGGGGGGCTTTTCTTGGAGGAGGAGCTGGGAGGCTGGCTTCCTGTCCCCCCTCCCCCACACTTG